AGGCCTGTCTCACTCATCAGCATAGAAGTGAAATTACAGATACACACATGTAAAAAAGGGATTGCATAAAATACAATATTCATCATGACCACTTGAAGTTCATTTCAGGAGTGTACAATATTTTTCTTAGTGCTGGAATATTTTTTTAAATATAATTCACCCATATTAATATATAAACCATCATCTCAATAGATTCACGTATCAATAGATACCAACAAATCCATAAAATATTGCAACTTTTCATGCACAGAACTGTCAGAAACCTGGAATTCAAAGGTGCTTTCTTAACAAGGGACAGACCACTAAGAAAACCTATAGCAAATTATGTTTGTCATATTTAAGATCAGGAAACACAATAATGCCAATAATGCCTTCGATCAGAGCCTCTCTTCTGTATTTTGCTGGAAAGAAGAGGAAAGAAATAAGAGTTTTATGAATTGAAAAGGAGGAAAATGTCATTATTTATCAATCATAAGATAATACACAGAAAAAATCCAGACAAATATACTGAGAATTGGTCAAAAAAATATGAGCATTTAATAGTGTTGTTGGATACACTAATCAAACTTAAAAATCAATTTCTTTCCTTCAATAGTAATAATCATTTAGAAAATGTAGATTAGCATGTAATTTATAAAGGCAACAAACAAATTTACTTGACAAAGTATAATTAGACTCAATAAATAATGATGTCAATTTTCTCCTAATTAACCTACTAATTCAATGAAATTTAAATAAAATTGCCAAAAGGACATTTTGTAGAAATTGATAAGGTAATTTAAAATTTTATATAGAGAGACAATTGCCTGAGATATGCCAAGAAAATGTTTCTGGAAATGTTGAAGGTGGGAGATGAGTTTCATGAGATTTCATGCCTTATCACTAAATCTTAGAAGAGGATCATATTGATGCTAGGATAGGTTTACCTATCACTAAAAACAAAGCTTGAACCCAAACAGATATTTCTGGAAACATAATTTATTCATTCATTGATGAATGAAGAAAGGTAACTCTTTTGGTAAAGCATCCTTGTACAAATGATAAACTTTAAAAAATAATTAAATTTTAAAAATTACAGGTTTGCTTAGAGCTTAAAGCCAAATATTACAACTTTAAAACTTAGGAGCATTAAAAAATCAAAAATTTCAAAGTGTTTGAAAATATCTTTATAATACTGGATGATTAAGTATATCAAAAACTGGCCCAGGCGCAATGGTTCACACCTATAATCCCAACACTTTGGGAGGCTGAGGCAGGCCGATCACCTGAGGCCAGGAGTTCGAGACTAGCCTGTACAACATGTCAAAACCCCATCTCTACTAAAAATGCAAAAATTAGCCAGGCATGGTGGCATGCACCTGTAATGCCAGCTACTCAAGAGGCTGAGGCAGGAGAATCACTTGAACCTGGGAGGTGAAGGTTGCAGTGAGCTGAGATCAGGCCACTGAACTGCAGCCTGTGACACACAGTGAGACTCTGTCTTAAATATATATATATATATTTATAAATATATAAAAACTATAACCAAAAATGTAAAATTTGATTTATTCAACTACATTAAAGTTAAAAATCCTGTCCATCCAATGCTAAAGTAGACTGATAGGTGAGATATTCAATTTGGAGAATGTATTTTCAATATATTTTACCAGCAAATATATCAATAACATACACACAAACACACATACATATGCTACAGTATAAATATTGGGAATATTTTAAACAGGTGGTTTAGAGAAAAGTATTCATTTAGATCTTATAAAAATATGAACTACTTAAAGTTCATTCATAAAAAATAAACATAAATTTCATTAACGATGAGGCATCATTTCTTACCCATATCGTTGGCCGAAACACTGAGCAACGTTGAGGCATGGATTGATGTGAACCTTCTCTCGTATCTACTTGGATTATAAATTCTCACCATGCTTTCATGATAGTTTACTGTCACTTTACAATGTCTATTCTAAAAATGAACCATAAATGAAGAATCCTACTTGAATGCATATGTCATATACACTCAGGAACTCCTTAGACCATGAAACACCTATAGGCATGTTTCTAACACCTTCTTTTGTGATGCATCACGACCAATTGAAGTTCATTTCAGGGATGTATAATAGTTTTCTTAGTGCTTGAATATTTTTCAAATATAATTTGCCCCTCTTAATATACAAACAATCATCTCAATAGATTTACTTATCAACAGATGCCAAAAACTCAATAAAATATTACAAATTTTCCTGCACAGAACTCTCAGAAAACTGAAAATCAAAGGAACTTAGAATCCAGAAAAAACACTCAGAACACACACATGCTTATCAAAAAGAGAATGGATAATCATTTGTGTTAAATCAATTACACAGAAATACTATACAGCAGTGAAGATCCCTAGACTTCATGAATATGAATCAACCTGGGTGAATCTCTGAAAAATATCATGTTCAAGGAAAGAACTCAAGGAAGACACTACAAACAGTATGATTCTTTTACATAACATTCAAAATTAAGCAAAACTTAAGAATATATTCTCTAACAGTACAGTAGTGCTAGAAAACTTAGCATGAAATCAGTATAGTTGTCTCCTTTCATGAGTAAGGAAAGTATTGGTTGAAAACAGAAATCGAGTAGCATTCATTTACTTTTCCATTCCCTAACTCAGGGCCTCCTTCACAGGTGCATGGCCCCAATCAATTGCACAGGGTCCTGGGGTCAGAAGTGCCCCATGCTAGGTTTAGAGGTCTGCTACTGCTGTCTTGAAATTCTGAAAGATTTAATCTTTGCATTTTTGTTTTGTACCTGGAGTGCAATGGACGAAGAGGCATGCATGCGCGTGGTCAGAGGAGATATGCACCGTATGCACTTCTGCCACTGTTGTTTGCTACCCAATAGTGTACAATGCTCATGAAGCCCCTTGAGCACAGAATTTTGCTGGACTGACAATAGGGGGAATTTGGTGAGATTCACAGTGTGCACAAAAGGAGGCTGTAACTTCTATGCCAAAGTGAGTGCTCTTGCAGCCCAGAGAGGCCACCCTTTGTGTCCAAGTTAGAACTTGCTTCGAATATAGAAAAGTAGCAATGACATTCTAAAAAAATATCCAAGAACAAACAAGAACTCTATCCTATCTCCTATTCTTCTTGACGTGTGAGGCAACCACTTATGCTGAAAATGATGCATAGGAGGGATAGGATGAGAGGGCAACCCAAGGCTCCTGTTCATTGCATGCCTTCCTTACACATCAGTGAACTGAAGGTACAGTGTTACTAGAGTAAGTCCATATCAAGAAGTGAAATAAAATCAGCTGAGTTCATTTTGTATAGCACACTTCCCCTGTTCCGGTAAGAATGCAGTAGATACTTACGCATGTGCTACAAAATAACAGCTTGTGCAATTTCAGTGATTCTGAATACATGTTAACTGCTCAGATACTGGAGTTCAAAATTGGCATTGCACAATATAAAGATAAAAATGGAAAACCTTGCCAGTGACTAAATATTTTAAATTTTTCCTTACTTAGAATGACATCAAAAAGAAATTTATTTTTTAAAGACATGACAAGTTGAGAAAGAGTATAAGAAAAGGGGAAAAACAGCTTTATATTTTACTACTGTTAACAGTGCTATGAAATTGGCCAACTTTTTCTGGAAAGAGTCAAATAGTAAATATTTTCAGCTCTAAGAGTTATATAAACTCTGTTGCAGTAACTCAACTCTGCCATTGTAGCAAAAAAGCAGGCACACACAACACATAAATGAGTGGGTATGGCTGTTTTCCAATAAAACTTTATTTGTAGAAACAAGTAGTGAGCCAGATTTGGTCCATGGACCATGGTTAGTCCATGGATGTGCTAAGGTAAGAAGTCCACTTATGACTTTTTTAAAAACATTTCTGAATTTCAGGCTAACCAGGCATTTGCATGACGCTGGACAGTAATTGTAGGTATCATATTTATGGCAATATTTTCAGTGTTTGGGAGTTACAGATGAAGGGATTGACTCAGGTAGTTCCAACATGGATCATTTATTCTGTCTTCATGCTGCTCTTTGGGCAAAGTATAGGAAAAATACTAGCAGTCTAGTGACACAGAATTTCTGTTTCTAGTAGCTGTGGGGTTATAACTTTCTGAGCACTGTTTCTCTTAGAAAAAGACTTGAGAAAGTCACTCATAGCTATGGCCAGTGACATGAATGTTTCATGCCCTCCAGCTTCAGAATGTAGACACTTTGTGCTTCTGTCATTTTAGTGCTATAGAAATACTGCAGTGTGATAGGAATACTGGATGCAGAGACTGAGACTCAGGATAGTAAATCTCTATGCCTAGTGTAGTTTTGCTTTTGCTAAGGGAAAGAGTAAAACATATGGGTGTGTAAAACTCACCAGTGAAAGCATCGACTATCTTTTTTTTTTTTTCTTTAGGAATTCAGACCTGATGAAAGGGTCAATGAAGAAATGATGTTTTGATTTCCCAATAGCATTACCCAACATTTCTCTGACAGTACCTGCCAGTTACTTCTTTCCTAAAGATTTGTGGTGCCCAGAGAAAGTCTCTAGTTTAGCCAGAATTTCTCTATAATATCGTTGGTGTTGCCCCATGGGTTTTAGCTAAGCAGTATCCATCTTGTGCAAGAGAGGCTCGTCAGGGCAACTTCCTGAACAGTAAGCTGAGATGATCATGGGGGAAGGGGATTAATGAAGGACTGTTACAGAAATACAGAAAAAATCTGCAGCAGAGCAACAACTCCAACCCTTGCTGGAAAGTTTCAATCAGACGCTGAAATTTCCAAAGTGTCCATAAATCAACTTTTAATATACTGTGGATACATAGAAGAAGCTGTCCATATACTTCTTTTTTTGAAGTTTTAGGCATTATTTTTTTCAGTGCAAAGATGTTTTAACCTTAATAAGTTCAATAAAACAGAAATACACATAAGTACTGCTAACAAAATGGCTAGGCCAATTTTGAAATGTAAACTTAAAATGTAAAATCACGGGGTCTGAGCCTTGCTCAGAGTAGGAGTCTGCGCAGACATCAGCTAAGATTCCAGAATGACTACCATCTTGACTTACACTTTTCAAAATCTTCTCACTGCATCAAAATGGGCCCTCAGATTTTCCATAAGACCTTGGAGCTGTTCCTCCTAGCTGCAAGCTGCCCCCGAGATCCAGACCAAAATGAAGAAGACATTAGCCAAACCCAATATGAGGAATGTTGTGGTCGTGGATGGCGTTCGTACTCCATTGTTGCTGTCAGCACTTCATATAAAGACCTAATGCCATATGATTTGGCTAGAGCAACACTTACGGGTTTGTTGTATCAGCCCAGTGTCCCCAAGGAAGTAGTTGATTATATCATCTTTGGCACAGTTATTCAGGAAGTAAAAACAAGCAATGTGGCTAGAGAGGCTGCCCTTGGAGCTGCCTTCTCTGACAAGACTCCTGCTCACACTGTCACCATGGCTTGTATCTCTGCCAACCAAGCCATGACCACAGGTGTTGGTTTGATTGCTTCTGGCCACTGTGATGTGTCCATGACAGGTGGTGTCGAGTTGATGTCCCATGTCCCTATTCGTCACTCAAGGAAAATGAGAAAACTAATGCTTGATCTCAATAAGGCCAAATCTGTGGGCCAGTGACTGTCTTTAATCTCTAAATTCCAATTGAATTTCCTAGCACCTGAGCTCCCTACGGTTGCTGAGTTCTCCATCAGTGAGACCACGGGCCACTCTGCAGACCGACTGGCGGCTGCCTTTGCTGTTTCTCGACTGGAACAGGATGAATATGCGCTGAGCTCTCACAGTCTGGCCAAGAAGGCATAGGATGAAGGACTCCTTTCTGATGTCGTAATCTTCAAAGTACCAGGAAAAAATACAGTTACCACAGATAATGGCATCTGTCCTTCCTCACTGGAGCAGATGGCCAAACTAAAACCTGCATTTATCAAGCCCTGCAGCACAGTGACAGCTGCAGATTCTTCTTTGTTGACTGATGGCGCATCTGCGATGTTGATTGTGGCAGAGGAAAAGGCTCTGGCCATGGGTTATAAGTCGAAGGCGTATTTGAGGGATTTTATGTACGTGTCTCATGATCCAAAAGATCAACTATTACTCGGACCAAAATATGCGACTCCAAAAGTTCTAGAAAAGGCAGAATTAACCATGAATGATATTGATGCTTTTGAATTTCACAAAGCTTTCTCAGGTAAGATTTTAGCAAATTTTGAAGTCATGGATTCTGATTGGTTTGCACAAAATTACATGGGTAGAAAAACCAAAGTTAGATTGCTTCCTTTGGAGAAGTCTAATAACTGGGATGAATCTCTGTTCCTGAGACACCCATTTGGAGCCACTGGCTGCAGGTTGGTCATGGCAGCTGCCAACAGATTACAGAAGGAAGGAGACCAGTATGCCTTAGCGGCTGCCTGTGCAGCTGGAGGGCAGGGCCATTCTATGACAGTGGAAGCTTATCCAAAATAATAGATCCAGAAGAAATGACCAGAAGTTTCTGTGCAACACTCACACTAGGCAATGGCATTTCAATGCATTCCTAAATGACATTTATAGTTCCTAGCTCGTCTTAGGAAAACAATTCTTGTGGCCTTCTGTTACATGCTTTGCACTTAAGCCTTGCCAGTGTTCTGAGCTTTTCAATAATCACGATTTACTGCTCTTTCAGGGATTTCTAAGCCACCAGAATCTCACACAGAGATGTGTAGGTGGTTGTTTTTGTTCTCTCTTGTCGCTAAAGACTAAATGAGTGTTTGCAATTGGGAAAGAGGTCAGCTGAGATTAGGAAGTCATCTTTGTAATATTTGCAAATTATACTTGTTCCTATCTGTGTCCTAAAGATAAGTGTTCTCTATAAAATACAAACCAATGTGCATAAGTTAACTTAATTATGGAAAAATAATTCAGAATCTAAACATCAATGAAAACTTACAAAAAATGTTTAGATACATAAATATCACGGTGGTCAACCTTAAAGTGGGGAAATATTGGAAAAAACGTAAAAACACACACACATATATGCTAAAGTTATGTACATATATAAATTTATATATGTTTATATATAAATTAGTATATATAAAGTTTAAGTATATTATGTGTAATTACATATATATAGTTTTATTTAATATATAAATGAATATCCACCTCCATATTTAAATTACATCTTTAGGCTGGGCATAGCAGCTCATGCCTGTAAATCTCAGCACTTTGGGAGGCCGAGGCGGACGGATTGCTGGAACTCAGAAGTTTGAGATCAGCCCATCGCTACCAAAATACAAAAATTATCCAGGCATGGAAGCTTGTGGTCCCAGGTCCTTGAGACAGAGGCTGAGGGGAAGAATTGCTTAAGCCCCAGAAGTCTAGGCTGCAGCAAGCCCAGATCATGCCACTGCGCTACAGCCTATACCACAGAGCAAGATCCTGTCTCAAATAAATAAAATAAAATATACTACATCTTTATACATGTACCTGGTTTTGTTTAGTAAAATTATTGTATATATATACATAATAATATATACAATATACTTATATATCACTGCATTAATCCATTTTCACACTGCTATACAGAAATACCTGAGACTGGGTACTTTATAAAGGAAAGAGGTTTAATGACTCAAAGTTCCACGTGGCTGGGGAGGCCTCAAGAAACTTACAATCATGGCGGAAGGCGAAGGGGAAGCAAGGCACGTCTTCTCATGGCAGCGGGAGGGAGAGAGAGCAAGGAAGTGCCACACTTTTAAACCATCAGATCTCATGAGAACTCACTCACTATCACAAGAACAGCAATGGGGAAATCCACCCCTAGGATCCAATCATCTCTCACCAGGCCCCTCCCTGGACACACGGAGATTACAATTCCAGATGAGATTTGGGTGGGGACACAGAGCCAAACCCTATCAATCATATATAATTACATTTATTTATACGTAAACTTGTATACATGTACACATACATATTTATATATACACTTATATATACCTACACATACATTTATATATTTACATAAAAACTTTTATACATATAAATTAATATACAGATGGTCTTTGACTTAGGATGGTCCCATTTACAATTTCTGGACTTCACGGTGGTGTGAGAACAATATGCATGCAGTAGAAAGTGCTGTTTTCCTCTCTTACCAGGCTGGACAGCAGCAGGGAGCCAGCTCCCACTCAGCCCTGCAATCACAAACATTCACAGCCAACGCTCTACCGTGTTCGGTGTTGCCAGAGGAGTTTGCTCCACGATAGGCTATGTAAGTGCTCTGAGTATGTTTAAGGGAGGCTGGGCTAAGCTATGATGTTTGGTAGGTTAGGTGTACTCAATTCATTTTCAAATTACGATATTTTCAAATTGCTATGGGTTTATTGGGATATAACCCCATCATAAGCTAAGGAGCATTTGTACATAAACTGGTATTGATGTGTGTGTGTGTGTGCATGTGTGTATATATATATATATATGTGGTATATATCTATAACTTGGATCTATGCATATTTTATATGTTTGTGAATATACATTTTTATATCAATACATACATTTATATAAACATTTAACATATACAGTTGACCCTTGAACAACACAGAGGTAAGGAACAACTCACCATCCCACTCCCACATGTAGTTGAAAGTCCATGTATAATTTTGACTCCCCCAAAACTTAACTATTAATACCCTACAGTTGACTGGAAGCCTTACCGGTAACATAAACAGTCAATTAACACACATTTTATACATTATATGTATCATACATGGTATTCTTACAATAAAGTAAGCTATAGAAAAGAAAATGTCATTAAGAAAATCCTAAGGAAGAGAAAATATACTTATTATTCACAGTGTGGAAGTGGATCATCCTAAAAGCCTTCATCCCCATCATCTTCACATTGAGTGGGCTGAAGAAGAGGAAGGCGAGCGGTTGGTCTTGCTTTCTCAACGGTGGCAGAGGTGGAAAAAAAATCCACATATAAGTGACTCACATAGTTCAAACCCATGTTGTTCAAGAGTCAACTGTATATGCATATACACACGCATACATACACATTTATATTTAAATTATATCTTTATATATATGTAACTAATTGTGTTTGGTAAAATTAATCTTGTTACACTCTTAAATTTTTTTTGTTATTTACATTTCTTCTCTATGTTTCAACATTTTAAACCACAAAAAAATAGACACAACATTCTAACTGAATGATTATAATATGGGCATCCAGGTAGTTCTGTTTAGACAGTTTCTAAATCACCAGGTACACAGACAGATTTTATAGAACTGCCGTCTAAAAAGGGGATACACTAGATTATTTTTATGTCATTAATTGATACACAACATGGGCATTTGTCCCCAAGGACTTCCTCTGTCATAGGATGTTTACTCAATTTATGTGAACAAATTCCAATTTGCAGTGGAGTGCCCTAGAAGCCAAACAGAATGCAATGAATTTTAAATGTAGTTTGCTTGATGTTCTTAATTTAGAAAATATTTAAAAGATGTGCACTGTTACGGTAATTAGTATGTGTGTGTTTCTGTGTGTGTGTATAGGTGTGTCTGTGTGTGTATATAAAATAAATGTCATATACACTTACATATCAATGTATATATTCATTTGCATTAGTGCTTTTTATTACATAAAATGATTATTGGTAAAATTGAAGTTTACCAAGTGAAGTTTGTGGAATGCAACAAACCACCACCACCTTGGCAGCTATAGGGAGGTGATTGTCATCAAACAAACCTCAGCTTTACCAGTAATCATTTTATCTAATGAAAAGAACTAATGTAAATTTCATCTTTTAAAAATTCTAGGCTAGGGAGGCATCTCTGATCTCTATTTTGTTAAGAGTCAACTGTACCTGTTAAATATTTATTACAATGTATAATATTGATTTTAAAAATGTATGTAAATGTATATGATTTTTTTATTTATATATACACACATACTAATTACTGTAACAGTGCACATGTGCATACTGATATAAAATGTATATATAATTATATATAAATGTATATAACATTTGTTTTATTTATATATACACACATATATACAAGCTAATTTACTGTAACACTGCACATGCATATATTGATATAAAATGTATCTATAAACGTATGTAAATGCATATGACATATGTTTTACATATATACACACACGTATACACACAGATAAACACACACACATTAACCACTTTAACAGTGCACATCTTTTAAGTATTTTCTTCCAAATTAAGAACCTCAAGCGCACTCTACTTATAATTCACTCTATTCTATTTTCCTTCTAGGGCACTCCATTGCAAATTGAAACTTATTTGCAAAAACTTATGAGAGAGAAAGCCATTGAGGACAAATGCCCAAGTTGTGTATCAATTAATTATATTCTCACGATGTCTTCCAAAGTACATTTCTATATTGTCACTAAAAATACATCTATCACTAAACAACACCTAGTGAATATTTTTAAAATTTACATTAGAAGTACATTATTGCATAATCTTTTTGTAAATTATTTTATTGTCCTTTTAGTTATGCATAGATTGAGCCAATTTGTGTAACTGTAATATAGCTGGTATGCATACACTAGGAGTTATTCATATTTAATTACTCCCTTTTTGCTTGATCATTTCCACTTTTCCTCTTTTACAAATAATATGGCAAGAAACAAAGTTATCAGTGCTTCTTTGTGTACATATGTCAGCAATTCTTTGGGGTTTTTTTTTTTTTTAGTGCTCTTTACAAATATTAAACTTACTTGCCTTCAACGAAACTCTAATTGCCCTAATTCATAAAATGAAAATCTAAAGCCTAGCTACTAAATTGCTCAAATCACGCAGCTAGCAGGAAAAAAAGCTGAGATCAAACCCAGCCTGTCTGTCCCCAAAACCCTAGTAATTAAACGTGTCCTGCCTTCTCAAAGGTATTGTTGAGTAACATATGTGATTGGAGGCTTTCCATTTCATTAGACAATACCAAATGACTTTTCCAAAATTGGATACAAATTCCCTTTTGCTACAATTCCCCAACAATGAATACAGCAGACATTTGAATTTTTGCTAAGCTAACGGCTGTGAAATTCCATTTCTTCGTTTTAATTTTTCATGGCTTTGATTTCTGGTGGAATGGAATTTAATGGCCTATGTTTATTGATCTTTCAGATTTTCCCCATTCAGGGGAATTCAGCTTGTTTTGTTTTGTTTGTTTGTTTTAAGACCAAGGGACTGGAGTTCCCATCACCCACCTTAATTTAGTATTTGGGTTTGTTTGTTTGTTTGAGACAGAGTCTCGCTCTGTCACCCAGGCTGGAGTGTAGTGGCACGATCTCGGCTCACTGCAACCTCCACCTCCCAGGTTCAAGCAATTCTCCTGCCTCAGCCTCCTGAGTAGCTGGGATTACAGACTCCCGCCACTACGCCCAGCTAATTTTTGTATTTTTAGTAGAGACGGGGTTTCACCATGTTGGCCGGGCTGGTCTCAAACTCCTGACCTCAAATCATCCACCCACCTTGGCCTCCCAAAGTGCTGGGATTACAGGCATGAGCCGCCACGCCTGGCCTAGTATTTGGTTTGATTTTAATTGAATGATTGAGTCCAAGTGAAATTTGACAATGATACGTATTTACTTTTATTTTCTAATTAAATGTGGCTATTTCACCAGGCGCTCAGCTTGATTCCCAGAAGCAATGGGAAAGCTTTGTGGAA